TGATCTCAGCAAAGCCTTCAACAAGGGGCCCATAGATGTCTATTCGTAAAATTGGAAACTCTCGGCATCCGGCCTCTTCTACTCGACTTCCTCGTGTCCTATCTATCCAACCGATACCAGAAAGTCATGGTCGGTAATAGCTCCTCGACACCACACTCGATCACGAGTGGCGTACTTCAAGGCACGGTTCTCTTTCCGCTACTTTTCCTTCTTTACATCAATGATATTTCGATTGAAGTTGGAAATTCACAAACTTTTATTTATGCCGATGACCTCAAGTGTGTTTACTCATATTCTAAGGACATCGCAAACGTCTGTGTTGAAAATACTTATGCCGATTTACTACGCTTAAGCAGGGGAAGTTCAACATGGCAGATGTGGTTTTCATTGTCCAAGTGTAGTTTCATGTCTCTTGGTCCTGCCAAACTCATTAGACTCGTAATTTTGCAGAATGACTTATTCACAAAGATCCTAGGTTTAAGTTATACAAATAAACTTGCTTTATCACCTAATGCAGATAGAATCTCTGCCAAAGCCGCACAGATATGTGGGTTCATATCACATAATTTTGCCTCCGGAAATATAATTGAGACTTTGTAAAATGTTTGTTTTCCCGTCCTCGAGTGCTGCCGCTCTTTCTTTGGTATAATGAATGCCCCAAATAGTTTCGGACCAGTGAGTCTCACTAGCATCTGTTGCTAGTTGATGGAGAGGGTAATATAAACGGAGCCGTTGGGGCACCTCGAAGAAAACAACTTGCTCAGTCTACATCAGCATGGATTTCGAAGCGGTCGTTCTTGTCTCACCAACCTCCTAGTATCCATGGAGAGCTGAACGAAATCAATCGGCATGGGCTTTTCAGTCGACGCCGTGTACATAGAGTTCAAAAAGGCTTTTGACAGTGTTCCACACGGCCGACTTATATGTAAACTACGTCAAGTGGGTGTGAATGGAAATGTTTTGAAATAGCTAGTCGATTTTCTTACGGGCAGTTCTTAGCGTGTGTGTATAAAAAACGCTAAATCGGAATGGGCATCCGTGCAGAGTGGCGTTCCGCAGGGAAGCGTTCTGGGTTCAATTCTGTTCCTTATATATGTGAACGACTGCCTGGACTGTCTGTACTGCGAGCTAGTAATGTTTGCCGATGATCTCAAATTGTGGCATTCAACAGAGAAGCCGGAAGATTCTGTACAATTATACGACATTTTAAATCGCTTGCAAAAATGGTGTGATGAGTGGTGTCTTAGCCTTAATCGTAACAAATGCCAACTTATCCGATTACGTTCGAGCAACAGGAGGCTTGAGATTTGAATCTCAGTACTTTATAGGAGGTCACCAACTCGAATCATTCAACGAGTTAGGAGACCTCGGTGTGTGGATGACGTCAACTCTCAAACCATCGTCTCACTGCGCCAAGGTATCAAAGTAAGCTATGGGTATTCTAGGCGCGATTAGAAGATCCTTCGGCAATTTTGATGAAGAACTTTTCGGTCGAGTATTTGGCGCATACGTTCGACCAATGTTGGAATATTGTGTCCAGGCAAGGTGTCCCTGGGCGAAAAATGCTTACACCCTACTGGAGTACGTACAACTTAGAACGATCAGGCTAGTCGGCGGATTATGTGGCCTACCTTATGAGAGACGGCTGGAGAAGCTAAAAATATTTCCTCTCTCTTATAGACAGTACAGAGGGGACATGATCATGGCCTTCAGGATCGTCCGAGGGCTAGACTGTGCTCTTCAGTTTGACGACTTCTTCGAACTGGCGCGGACGACAAATCTCCGAAGGCACCCATACAAATTGAAGACGCAACATGCCAGACTCGATTTGCAGGCAAAATTATTATCTCACCGGCTTTTGAGGGATGGTACAAATTGCCGTACTCCGTTGTCTTAGAGGAAAGCTTTGAGACTTTCAAAAGAAGACTAGATAAACTTATGCTTGATGGTCAAACATTTACATGATATCAATGGCTGGTATAACTGCTATGTAAATATCTGCATGTTTTTTTCTACGTCTATCTGTAAATAGGGTTTTCCAAGGCTCTGCCTCTATCCCTCATATATACTGAATTATTATACTGAATTTATCATTTTTTTCGGGAGAATAAATGATGACGATGTCGTGTAGCCTAACTATTGGTTCTACTACTCTGCCAGCTGTGTTCTCTTAACAGTTTCCGTCGATTTAAACTAAGGAAACAAGTGCTTAGCTTAAGCCTGGAACCCGTGCAGATTTCGACAGCACAAGGCAACAAATCCCGCTCATCCCTGGTTTTCCGTGAATATTACTTTTTTACTGGAAATATAGAATATATCGTGCAAAATATTTCCATATACTGGATATCAGCGGGTCGTGTATTTCAGGTCTAACCTCATCGCTTAATCGGCAACAAAGATAGATAGCTTCCGATGTCTTGATTAGCCTCAAAGTCAATAAAGATAACTCAAGAAAACACATAAGTTTTTTTGGCGAGTCTGAATAATTAAGACATCGGCTAACATAGACTGCGAAACTTTTATAGTTTGTTATACTGCATCCCATTTCTGTCGGCGCACTTTTGACTATCCCATCCCCGTGACGCGTGAGTTTGCTCCTAGTATGGCCTTTTTCTTCGCATACGCCAATAGTGGCCGTAGCCGCTGTTCTACCTTTTTAGGCCTTTGTTTCCAATGTCTTCCTCTCGAAGTTGGTTGAATATTGTTATTTACAATAAAAGTGCTTTCGGCCCCTGAACGTGTCAAAGCAGGGCCAACTTTGTACATATATCCATTTGCGTACTACTGTCGGTCTTCTTGGACTAAACTTTGACAGTATGGTATGATCTGTATTGTCCTGTGAAGTTTAGAGTACTGCAAATGCCTGGGTAGGGCGTGTGTGTGTGTGGCTATACCTCTAAACGTTACTGTAACGGAGGTTGCATGACATAGCACTTATCTCCCAGATCGAACTGAGGGTTTTGCTTCTAAAGTGCAGACCTCTTTCGGAGGCAGGATACTGCGTCGCCACTTGTTAGGATTGCAGTTGTTTAGATTATTCGCCCACGAATTTTAGTAGCCTTAGGTCGTCGGTTGACTTAGCCTGTTTCACGTGGCTTGCTGCCTATAATGGCCTGTAACGACTCATATTTCATCCGAGAAAGCTCCTAATCACGTAATAGACTGAAGTTTTGGAGTTGCTCATGGTCAGATTACTCCTGCAATTGCATGTTGCTTTTTCGTTTTTTTGCTGCTGTAGGCACATTATGGGGGCTTACAAATTCATGCAAGAGCTTTACCGGCACAAACAGTCAGATGTCATGCGTTACTTGCTTCGCATGAGGTGCTGGGAATATCGGCAGACAAAAAAGATCGTGCGTGTTACAAGGCCGTCGCGACCTGACAAGGCAAGACGTCTGGGCTACAAGGCGAAACAGGGCTACGTCATTTACAGAACCC